GGGGTCATTAAAACTGGAGAGAAGGGGAGAAAAAGGGCCTCCAAGGGTGAGGATATAGACCTTCATACCATGGCGGTAGCAGAGGACTTGATTTGTTGCGGCCCAGTGCTCGTCGGTGTGGCGAGCGGTACCGACAAAGCGAGCAAGAACGCTTATGGGATAGGCAAGGTCAAGGCGGGTGCACATCATAGCGTACATCAGCAAACCGATGAGCTCAGCATAAGGATGGTCGGAGCACGAGGAAGCAGGAGGACGGGCAAGCTGGTGGTTGATTTGCAAGGGAGTGGTAACTGGTTTGACAGTGCCATATGGAACCGCTGCAATACTTGGTCAATGTAAAAGGATAGTGAGAGGGTAATGGTGCGCGTCGCGTGGTCCTGGGTGATGGTCATGCCCAGATAGTGCTTGAGCTCACCCAAGTCCTTGCACTTGAGGCGTGCATGCAGGGCGTCCTTCACCTCCTGCATGGCGGCAGCATCGCCAGCGAACAGGATCATGTCGTCGGCATACACCAAGATGAAGAAGCAGGTGGGAGAGGAGCGGAGGAAAATGCTGCATTGGACTGAGAGGCATTGAACCCCAGGGACTGCAGAGTGGTGGCCAGATTATGACACCACTCCTAAGGCCATAGTCCGGGCGACAAAGCTCCCAGACAGTGCTAGGAGAGAAGGCCACATGAAATCCTTGAAGCCGCCGTAGGAGGACCCGCTCCTAGAGCCGCCTGTGGCTCCTGCTGCAGCTCCGTTCGCTGCTGCTCCGTCTGCTACTGCTGCTGCTGCTAATGCGAGGAGGCAGAGTGAGCAGGGGAGTCAGGGACAGCTGGGTCATAAATGTTAGCGGAGGAAGGAGGAGGGGGGGGGAGAGGGAGCCGGAGAAAGGAGAAGAGCCTAGGGAAGGAGAGGGGGAATAACATCATCAGCCCAGGTGGGGGGTGGGAGGGAGGAGGAAGTGGGTCAGAAGGCAGAACAGAATTAAAGAACGGGATGCTCTCATCGAACACAATGTCACGGCTCTAGAGGAGGCGGCTTGAGGACAGGTTGAGGAAGAGATAACGAGAGGAAGAACAAGCGTGGCCAAGGTAGACACACTTGAGGGCCTTCGAGATGAGCTTCGCTGCCTACCTAGAATGGTCAAGAGGGCAGATGAGGACATATGCCTTGCAACCCAAGACACAGAGAATGGCATCATCTTGCTTGGTGATGGCCCTACTACGATCACTTGGAACCAACTCTCTTTGCAACGGCACGCATCAGTTATAGCATTACTACGGTATAGGACCGGTACACGTCTGCTATGTCAACCTCGCACGCTTGGTGGTTTCTTGACCTCATGGAGCAGTTATCATCGCTACTGGATGCTGCAGTGCAGCTGAATTCTACTTAGCGCAACTCAGGCATGGAATTATCACCATTCGCTATGCTACTCTGCAACCTGGAATGGAGCGTCACACATCCCAATACTTCAACATGGGATACCTGCTACCTGCACTCGTACAAGCTCACGAGTGTGTGGAAAAAACTACAGAGGAGCTACTGTTCAAGCACAACTTTGTTGGCTTGATTTTCTCTAACTACTTGGAGCCTCACAACCCTCAGTATTTGCTGAAAAACTGGGCACTTTCAACGTCTAGCCGGTTTTGAGGGGGGGAAGTGTGAGAGGATGAGGCTTGCCGAATCCTTGATCACACATGTGGCAGCAGTTCCGCACCGACCTGTTGAAACGTTTCGAACCAAGAATTTTCGGTTTCTTGCCTGGGAAAGAATTAATCGTCATCGACAGTTCAGGAGTGTAGCGCAGTACACCCAGCAGATGGAGGAATTTTATAACCGCATTCCCGACCTAGGGGAAAATTTGCAATCATACCTCGCCAAGCAAAAGACCGAAGTCAAACGACAAGTGGCAGCGACGAATGACTGTACGCGAGCTACAGTAACGTCTTATCGGCAGCGGGGCAGTTTGACATGGTCAATGCCATAACACGATGGGCGCATGTCAGCAGTACGCGATATGGCGAATGCTTGGCACACCCCACGTTCGCCGAACCGATGGAGATCGACAGATGCGCTGGGCAGCTACGACCGAAAAAAACCAACTTCACGTGCGACTTTTGCGGGGTGTCGGGCCCTCGAATCTTTGAAATAGAAGAAGGAAATTGCTTGTGATTGTGGATCTAGCTGGGAACTGAAAGCGGCCGCGACATCCGAAAAAATCAACTTCGACGAAGCTGATTCGACACGAGTAGGAGGAAATGATGGGGGAAAATCTCCACCCTACGACCAGTCTTTGCCAGGGAAAATCGTCGAGAAAAAATGACTCCGCAAAAGAAATACTCTGTTGAGACAGGGAAATTCCTAGAAGACCCAAGAAAGTATAAGGATTTGTTAAAGTTACCTTATAAAGATGCTTTAATGACAACTTATGATTCTCGAGGGGCTAGAGCCTTGGAGAAATTTCGGGAGGGACTCCAGAAGAAGCAGAACTTGGGAAAAAAAAAGGAGTATGGAGAGAAGTTGGCCTTTCCACAGAGTCAACGTTCTCTCCTGACACCAACCCACATCGACTACTTGCTCCCCAAGGAAGACGTTGGTGGAGCTGAAGCAGCTCAAGAGGAAGCTGGGGGTCTACAAGAAGCTGCAAAAACCCCGAACTCCTCCTTTGGATGCATCCATCTCAGCAACTTCGGCATGACGCGCCGCACATTCGTCCAAGAAATGGTGGGCCCTGGAGTAGAGCCTTTCTCCAAGCAGCCTCGCCCAGCTGCCAGCTCAGGAGTAGATAGCAATGAAAATGTGTGTATGGAATATGAGGGCATACCCTATTATCATATTAATTAAGCTATCTTTGGGTACTCCGAGCAATGCCTGCCCCTCGTGCTCGAGGTCATGTGCAAAGGGCGACGCCTCCAAGCACTTGTGGACTGAGGAGCATCGCACACTGTATGCGACAAGGCAGCAATCGACCGAATTGGGGAAGACTGCAAGCCTTCAACATTCTCTGCAACGATGGTGGACGGCAGCAAGTTACCAGTCTTTGGTGAAGCCGTGTTACACATACAAATCAGACCACTACGCTGGGAACCTGCCCTTCTCATCATCAATAGAAAAGGGTTTGACTTGATCTTCAGGAGAGAATTCCTTCAAAAAATCAACCCCGAAATCAGTTGGGTCTACCGCACTGCAAGCATCTACAACAACGGAAGGAGAGTCTAGCTACCAAACGGGGACGACACAGGAGAGTTTCCTGTGCAAACACTCGCCAGATTCGAGAAGGACATGAAACAATCTGACTCAAGGTTCTTGGCGATAGCAACAAGTGCAGAAGACGACGGAAAGAAAGCCTTGGAACCTCCAGAAAAAATCAAGGAATTAGTGAAGAAGTTTGAAGACATTCTTCCCGATAATCTTCCGAACGAGCTACCCCATACCAAAAGCACCAACACGAGATCGTGCAAGAACCAGGTTCGAAGCCGACCTTTCGAGCACTATACTGGCTCAGCCCTACAGAGCTAGCCAACATATAGAAACAGATCGAGTATCTCCTCGAAAAAGGACTCATCCATCCATCCACTTCACCAGACGGGGACCAAGTACTCTTCACACCGAAACCAAATGGAAGCCTGCGCATGTGCATCGACTACCGAGCTCTCAACATGCAGACCATCAAGAATAAATACCCTATTCCAAGAATTGATGACCTGCTTGACTAGCTTCGAGGAGCCACGGTATTTTCCAAACTGTATTTGTGGTCCGGATACTGGTAGATAAGAATAGTGGACAATTCCATCCACAAAACTGCCTTCCGAGCTCGGTACGGGTCATACGAGTATCTGGTAATGCCGGACTCAACAATGCACCAGCAACCTTCCAAGCCAAGATGAACCACATTCTACGCCCACTCTTAGACTAATGCGTGATGGTGTATCTGGACGACATTCGCATATAGTCGCGTGATATGAAGCAGCATATCGAACAGTTGCGATGAGTCTTCGACATTCTTCGACGGGAACGTTTCTACATCAATTATCCAAGAGCAAATTTGCCCTAAAAAAGGTCCAATTCCTATGACATATGGTGAGCGCTCAAGGAGTTCATGTCGACCCTAAGAAGATCGAAGCCGTATGCACGTGGAAGACACCCGAGAACGTGAAGGAGTTATAGCAGTTGCTAGGTTTCGCTAACTATTACAGTAGGTTCATGCGACAGTACGCGAAAATTGCCTCACCACCCACGAATCCGCTGAAGAAGAGCACGCCCTATCAATGGGAATCAAAACATCAAGAAGCCATGGAGCAGCTGAAACAGGCACTCACGTCGGCACCAAAACTCATCTTGCCAGACCCCTAACGCGACTACAAAATCCAAGCTGACGCCAGTAACCAGGCAGTGGGAGCAGTCTTAATGCAAGACCAGGGGAATGGACTGCAACCGATCGCCTATCTCAAGAAACTACACGGGGCAAAACTAAATTACCCGATACACGACGAAGAGGCCCTTCCTATTGTCATCGCCTTCAAAACACGGAGATGCTATCTCAAAGGATGAAAAACAATCGTCTACACCGACCACTGCAACCTGAAATATTTGAAGACATAGCCAAACCTCTCCAGGCAGCAGGTCCGATGGATTGAGTTCCTCGAGACGCACTTCCACTATGATATCATGTACAAGTTCGGCCACAAAAACAAAGCAGATGCTTTCAGCCGGCCTGCATACGTTGCCGCTATCCAAATCGAAGGGATGAATTCACTACTCAAGGGATGAATCACAAACGGGTAAACCATCAACCCCGAAATTCCCTTGGTAGAAAAGCGACATCTCCTACAAAGGAACGGTGATATTGCATTTTAGAAAGGATTAAAATAAATGTGGGTACCCAACTACCCACCTTTGCGCCAGTTACTGTGTTGTGTAATGTCATCATATGCTATCACATTCTGTCTGCCTCCCATCCCATGTTTTCAACTTGCATGTGTGGTTTGAATGTGCAAGCATTTGTGTGTGGTGTGTTCTGGAGTTTGGGAATGTGTTCTGTGTTATTTTTGTTTCAGTAGGTATTTGTGATAATAGATCTTGAGAAGATCTTTCCGACGCAACGAGAATCCCTTCAATCGGAGCAAGAACGCGAAAGCTATGAAGATTCAAAGTTCATAAGCTCGCGTTACAATTGCGGCGGTTACTAAGTGAAGTTGTGGGGTGAATTTATATGGAGTTGGGACCTTTGGGGTTGGGGAAACTTGTCACTCTACTGTAACAGCTGCAAATAGGTTGGGAACAACCAAGCTAGGTTGGCAAGGGTGGCCAACTTGGATGGATTGGTTGGGAAGGGACAAAGGTCAAAGTTGAGGTTCCTATAGGGAGGGAATCTTTGTGCTTATGGGGTTTCCTTGGTAGGGGACTCTCTTGGGACCTTCCCTCTCATCTCTCTCTTCTATCCCAACCTTTCTCTTGCTCCTTCTAATTCCTTGTGAGATTCTTGAACTTTGATTGAACTTTTGAGATTGAGTTAAGTTCTCCTCCTACAGCTTACCCCCTAATGCGTCGAAAGCCATAGCGTCGCGAATACTTCATTAATCAACGTGATTCAAATTGGGAACGGTAGCTGAGATTAAGAGCTACAACATATCCGAGTTTTGCGACATTCCAACGGCTAGGTTTTCGTCAACGTCGTTTCTTGTGAAGACGACTTTTCTGTCCAGAATTTCGGATTTATATTTTGAGTAATTCTAGTTCCTAAGTTCACCTAGACTCCGTCCTTAATCCTAACAAGTGGTATCAGAGCAATATTAAGGACATTGAGAGGAGTCTACAGAAGTGTGAAGACCCTTCTAGACCCACCATGGCCTGTGGGTGTGCCTAAGTGGTGTTCTAAAGGTTGGATGTGTCTTCCGCTAAGGGGAAACTCTGCCGAAATTTCGTGGACGCCGACACTTGTGAAAATATCGAGGGAGCTGAGTGTGGACAGCAAAGGGGAGCTGAAACTCGTCATTTCTCAAGGAGAAGATGAATGAGAGAGGAGGAGATGCTAATGGAAGAGGAGCTGTAGCTGAGAAGACAAGTGAGCCGCCGCCATCAAAAGTTGAAGCTTTGGATGGCTCCAACTATGAGGAATGGAGCGGACGGATGAGGAGTGCCTTCAAACGCTACAAGCTACTGAAGATTGCTGTTGGGGAAGAGAAGATGCCGGAAGAAGGCGAAGCACGTGAACGGTGGATTGAGAAAAGCGCGGTGCTTTTCGACCTCATCCTTCAATCGGTCAACAAGGAGATGTTCGAGCACATCAAGGATCTTGTGGAAGCGGATGATTCGGGTCCAAGGGCGTGGAAACTACTACGCGATGTGATTCAGCCCAACACTCTCCTGATGGTGATCGTGCTCGAGAAGGAACTTGCTGCCATCTCCATGCGACCAGGGGACGATGTGAAGCCGGTCCTTGACAAGATCAAGGACACCTATGCAAGGATGGCAGCAGCGGGCAGCAGTGTATCTCAGCTGCAGCAGTGCACCAAGATCATCTCGGTGTTGGACAACTCTTGGGACAACCTCATCCCCACCCTCAACTCTCAACAAGATCAATGGACACCTGAGTGGCTAAGGCAGCAGATTCTGCAGGAGGACTTCCGCAGACGCCATGTGGGAGGCGGTGCTGCCACTAAGACTGCTGAGGGGTATGGAGCTGCAGGGCGCGGCAGAGGAAGAGGGGTTGGAGAGGCCGAGGCCGTGGGAGGAGCTTTGGCAGAGGTAGAGGCCGAGGTGACTATAATGAGGGGCATGGGAAGCTCTAGTGGCAGGGGGAGTACCAGAATGGAGGGCACCTGCTGGTACTGCAAGAAGATAGGGCATCCTTGGTTCAAGTGCTTCAGCAGGCCGGAGGGATGGGCACCTCCAGGCATGAAGCCACCCAGTGGTGAACGCGCACAAGGTGGCGCTGTGCAAGGCTCAGGTGCACAAGGTGAAGGTGCACAAGGTAAATGCCTATCCTGGTTTGTTTCTTATGGTTGAGGATGTGCATGGGGCATGAGGGTGATGTGGGATCTGTGGGAAAGGTTGTGATGCACCCTCTCACGCACTGGGTGATTGATTCGGGTTGCACCAGTCACATGACCCCACGGGCAGATTTGCTTGATGAGGTTAAAACCCCCTGGAAGATTAAGTATGTGGCAGCTGCGTCAGGTGCTTTGCTCCCTGTCATTGGTGTTGGGAATGCCAAGGTTAAGGGAGCTAATGGGGAGCTTGTGGGCTTGGGAATGTCCTGCTGGTTGAAGGTCTGTCTGCTAACCTTCTCTCTGTGCGACGACTGCCAGAAGAGCAAGGCCGAAGTTGACCTTTGGACAACCAGCTGCCGTGCTAAGCTTGGGAAGAAGGTGCTGTGGAGTCTGGAAGAGGAGACCAGCTGCATCAAGGACCTGTGGCAGCTGCCCATCATCCCTTGGAATGGGAAGACTCCAACAGCAGCAACGGCAGCAGCGGCAAAGGCAACAGCAGGAGGAGATGCAACTGCACCAACTGATGGGGTCCTGGAAGCAGTCAAGAAAGTGCAGAAGCAGCAGACACATGGTGAGGTGCTTGCTGGTGTGGATGCGAGTGCGGCATGGGCTAAGGCTTCATCAAGGAGTGGAGAGGCCGATTGGGAGACATGGCATGAGAGGCTGTGTCATGTGAACTTCCCTATGCTGCAGAAGTTGGTGAAGGATGGGAGCCTGAAGGGCTTGGAGGTGAAAGGGGGAGTGAAGGAGATTGGGAGCTGCCCTACATGCTTGGAGACCAAGTTCTCCAAGTTCCCCTTCAACAGCACTACAGGACCAGCCAAGACCCCACTTGCACTTGTGCACATGGATGTGGTGGGGCCCACAAGAGCCCCTTCCCTCTCAGGCAGCCGCTATTTCTTGACAATTGTGGATGACCACACTCGGGCAGTGTGGGTTTACCCTTTGAAGAGCAAGGGGGAGGTGGCAGCGGCTGTCCTTAAGGAGTGGATGCCTAGAGCTCAGAGGGAATGCGGACACAAGGTGAAGGTGATCCGCAGTGACAATGGTGGGGAGTTCATTGGAGCTGATTTTGAGGGGGAGTTGAAGAGGAAGGGGATCCAGCATCAACTGACAGTGCCCTACAACCCGCAGCAGAATGGCGTGGCTGAGAGGTTCAACAGGACCCTGCAGGAGGGGGCACGCACTCTCCTTGGGCGTGCAGGGCTGCCTGATCCGTTTTGGGTGTCTGCACTGAGGCAGGTCGCCCTTGTGAAGAACAGGGTGCTGGCTACAGTTGGAGATAAGGAGTGGATCCCATATGTCAAGTGGTATGGGAGTGCTCCAGCTGTGAACATGCTGAGGGCATTTGGGTGCATGGTGGTGTTTCATGTGCCTAAGGAGAAAAGGGGGAAGTTGGAGGCTTCTGGAAGATGGGGTGTGCACTTGGGGATTGCAAAGGATCACAAGGGGTGGCTGCTATGGGACTTGACCACCCAGAAGTTGACAGTGTCAAGGGATGTGAAGTTTCTTGAGTCCCTGTACTACAAGGAATGGAAGCAGCAGCAACAGAAGCTTCCATCTACACCGCTCATTGTGGAGGCAGATGAGGTGCAGCAGCCTTCAAGACAGGTGGAGGTTGCAGTGTCAGAGGAGGAGATGTCTGGGGTGACTGAGGAAGGGGGAGCAGCTGAAGTAGAGCAGCAGCAGCAGCAAGCATGAGTCTCCACCTCGAGTTCCACACCCGCCTGAGCGACCTAGGAGGGATGTGCGCCCTCCAGTGAGGCTGACCTATGGGGGAAGAGGCAAGCCGAATGTGGTGCAGGCTGGGAGTGTGGTTGAGCAGATTGAGGAAGATGAGATCGCTCACTGCTACTGGGCACCAATCCCTGAGCCCAAGACTCGAGAGGAGGCCTTGAATGGACCAAATGGGGAGAAGTGGAAGGCGAGTGAGGATGAGGAGTTCGGGTCCCTAATTGAGAACGAGACATGGGACCTGTGTGACTTGCCTCCTGGAAAGAAGGCAATCACTTCCAAGATGATCTACAGGCACAAGTATGGACCTGAAGGGGAGCTGACCCGCTACAAGTCTAGGCTTGTGGCACGGGGGTTTCAGCAGACAAAGGGGAAGGACTATGATGAGGTGTTTGCTCCTGTGGGGAAAGGAACAACACTGAGGGTGCTGTTGGCGATAGCTGCACTCCTGGGATGGAAGATACGGCAGATGGACATTGTGACTGCCTTTCTGAATGGGATCATTCTGGAGGAGGTGTACATGAAGCAGCCAGAGGGGCTGGATGATGGGAGCGGCAGGGTCTGCAGGCTGAAGAAGGCCATCTATGGCCTTAAGCAGGCGCCTCGTGCATGGTATCACAAGTTGGAGGAGGCGCTGTTGGCTGGGGGTTTCAAGAAGAGTGAGTGTGACCCCAGCCTGTTCCTGCTGCAGGAGAAGGATGAAATCCTCATGCTCTTGGTGTATGTGGATGATATCCTTCTCTTTTCTGCATCAACTGCTTTGCTGGACAGCGCAGAGCAGATGCTGGAGATGCAGTTCAAGTGCTCCAAGATGGGTGAGGTGAAGTACTACTTGGGGATGCATGTGGAGAGAGATGTGGAAAAGGGTGTGCTGAGGTTGCACCAGAGGAAGTACTGTGAGGGGCTGGCTGAGAAGTATGAGCAGCTGGAAGCGGCCAAGAGGTTGGTCCGCTATGTGAGTGCTACGGCATCAGTGGGATTGGAGTACAGTGGAGTGAGGCAGCAGTTGCAGAGAGGTGCTGCAGATGTGAAAAGTGATGAGATGCTCTTGAGTTGCTATACTGACGCTAGCTTCAACTCAGTGAAAGCGGATGGCACCAGCATTGGGGGTTATGTGTGCTTGCTAGGAGGTGGTGCTGTGAGCTGGCGCAGCAAGAAGCAGAATGAGGTGGGATTGTCCTCATGTGAGACTGAGTACATGGCCTTATACCATGGGGCCAAGGAAGTGGTCTGGCGGAGGCAGATCATTGGAAGGGCATGAAGCTTGCTGGGATGAGTGTGCATTGAGTATGCATGCTTGAGATGTGGTATGGTGGATGATGGTTGGCAGCCAGAGGGGGAGATTGTTGTGTGATGTCATCATATGCTATCACATTCTGTCTGCCTCCCATCCCATGTTTTCAACTTGCATGTGTGGTTTGAATGTGCAAGCATTTGTGTGTGGTGTGTTCTGGAGTTTGGGAATGTGTTCTGTGTTATTTTTGTTTCAGTAGGTATTTGTGATAATAGATCTTGAGAAGATCTTTCCGACGCAACGAGAATCCCTTCAATCGGAGCAAGAACGCGAAAGCTATGAAGATTCAAAGTTCATAAGCTCGCGTTACAATTGCGGCGGTTACTAAGTGAAGTTGTGGGGTGAATTTATAT